TTATGTTTATAATCAATGGTGTAAGTCCAGCCCCTTAAGAGTAGTCTTGTAAATGGGTTAAATGAATAAATAAGTACCATCTCCAAGTTAGATTGTAAAATGGATTGTTTTTATTTTAACAAATTTTAGAGAATTCAATTTTATTATTATTATTATTGTGTTGAAGATGGAATCTCATTCTGTCGCCCAGGCTGGAGCGCAGTGGCACAATCTCAGCTCACTGCAACCTCCGCCTCCCAGATTCAAGCGATTCTCCTGCCTCAGCCTCCCAAGTAGTTGGGATTACAGGTGCATGCCACCACGCCCAGCTAATTTTTGTGTTTTTAGTAGAGACAGGGTTTTGCCATGTTGGCCAGGCTGGTCTTGAATTCCTGACCTCAAGTGATCCGCCCGCCTCAGCCTCCCAAAGTGCTGGGATTATAGGCGCGCGCCACTGCACCAGGTCGAGAATTCAATTCATTGACTGTGGCAGTTGGAAAACTTTTTTCTCAATTTTTTTATTTTGAAAAATTTCAAACCTTCAGAGAAATTTCAAGAATAGTATAGTGAAAGATCATATAACCTTCACCTATATTCATCAATTGTTTTTTTAAATTGTTATTATTATTTTGTATAGAGACAGAGTCTCCCTATGTTGCCCAGGCTGGTCTCAAACTGCTGGACTCAAGCAATCCTACCTCCTCAGCCTCCCAGAGGGCTGGGGTTACGGACATGAGCCACCCACCGCACCTGGCCCACCAGTTGTTAATATTTTGCCACATCTGTGTTCTCTCTTTCATATACAGGCACAGACACATACATACATGTATTTTTTTCTGAACCATTTGAAAGTTAGTTGCAAACATGACACTTTTATGTCTAAATACCATACTTCAGCATATGTCTTCTGAGTACAAGGACATTCCCCCATATAACCACAATAATCAAACCCAGGAAATTTAACTATTGCCTAAGACTATTATCTAACTATAGTTCATATTCAAATCTCCCCAAGTATCTAGTAATGTCCTCTATAGCTGTTAACTTATTGATGATCTTGCATTGCATTTGTCTCTTTTAGTCTAGATTTAAGTACCTTTGTTTTGTCATTATGACATTGACTATTTTGAAGAGTTGAAGTCAGGTTCCACCCTCCCATCCCTATCCCAATGTCCTTCAATTTGTATCTGTCTGATTCTTTCTTTCTTTCTATTTTTTTGAGACAAGGTCTCACTCTGTTGTCCAGGCTGGAATGCAGTGGCACAGTCTTGGCTCACTGCAACTTCTGCCTCCTGGTCTCAAGCGATCCTCCCACCTGTCTCCCAAGTAGCTAGGACTATAGTCACGCGCTACCATGCTCAGCTAATTTTTGTATTTTTTGTAGAGATGGAGTTTTGCCATGTTGCCCAGGTTGGTCTTGAACTCCTGGGCTCCAGTAATCTACATGTCTCAGCCTTCCAAAGTGAATGGATTACTGGCATGAGCCACTGCATCCAGCCTGATTGTTTCTTTATGATTAGACTCAGGTTAAATATTTTTGGCAGAATATTACAAATAAGTCATGTTCCAATGCCACTTTTTATAAATGTTTGTTATCCTTCTCTTTTAAATGTGTGAAGCCAGCAGTAATAAAAAGTCTAATATTCTTATTTTCAAATATCTAGCAGGTCAGTTATTGGCAAGTGACTCTTGTCATCACGTCATGATTGAGGCAGTAGGCTATTTGTACAGATCACTTGATTTAAGGGTGATCCACCTGGGATCTTCTCATTCATCAATCCATGGAATCCTGCAGTGAGTTTCTATTTCATGTTCCAAACAGAAATATGCTTCTGGTTATTCATGTTATATATATGACCTCTTGACAACTTTTGATCTTTTGCAGCCTTCTGAGAGAAATTGAGTGGATCCGGAGCCGGAGATGTTGGCCTCAAGGTATGAGCCAGCAACATTCTGAGGGTTCTAGGAATGGCTTCTCATTATGGGAGCACTTGCTTAAATTAAACTATCACAGTGCTCAGAGTTCTAATACAGTGAGCTCTGCAATGTGCATGAATGCAGATAAATTACACAGGGCTAGAAGAATGGACTTGGCACCTCAGACAATTTCAGATAAATCAAAATGTGCTGCTGGAAAAGGGAAAAAGAAACCCATTATTTGCATATCTGCTGAGGAAAAGATACAACGGAAGACACAAAATCATGCTGAAATATGGAATGGCTCAGGAAAGAAAGCATCAAACAAAAAGAAAGATTATTCCTCTAACATTTTATCTTTGGGTAAAATGAATGGTTTAATAAAGCTTTCAAGGCAAAGAATTTTGTTAGCTAAAAGTGAGAGTGGAGAAGGCGAAATCACCGCCAATTACCACCATTCCCTGCCACGGCCTCTTAGCACAAAAAACCCTTGGGAATATGAGCTCATATCAGAAAAGTGGCTTTTTCATAGCCCAGATTATATTTCGATACCTCAGAAGTCTTTTTTGCAGAGAAGATTTCACACTGAAACAAAACTGTTGAAGACCTCAGATGATATTAATAAAGAATAAAAATGTATCATGGGCTTTTTGGCATCTGTTGTTTCCACTTGTCTTTAATTAGAACTCTTTTATTGAATATTTTCTTCTAAAATACACAGGATGATAATAACCAAGGTCTGGAAATATGATTATTTAGGCACTTAAACATTGTAACTCATTTTACTTAAGGAGAACAATTTTTAGGTGATTCACATTTCTATGGTAGGTAGAGCAATTTGATCTCATAGTGTTCCATATCCAAAAGTATACAGAAGCAATGTTATTAAAATTCTAATTGTATTATTTTTGCATTGCTATAGTTTATTTTGAATTTATGAATTAATTTTCCACATGAACAAAATTTACAATTGCTATCACCAACTCTTTTTATGATACACGAAGTAAAAAATATATAATTTGGCATGTAACTAAAATCATAAAGTGAGTTTAAAGTACCAGAGCTCGTATATTTGATATCATATCTGTTTTAAACATTTTATTGTCTCATTTTATCAGTGATTCGTAAAACATTAACCATTAGCTGTTAAGGATTACTTATTGGCTACTTTCTTCCCTATCACCCGCCTAAATCCTACATACTATATGTTAGGAAGCCAAATGGAAGAATGGGTTCAGTTGTGTGGTTTTAGGAAAGTTATCTCATCTTTCTTGGCCTCGGTTTCATTACTGTCAGCCCTCTGTGTCTGCAGGTTTGCATTCGTGGATTCAATCAACCATGGATAAAAATATTAGAAAAAAAAATCAACAATGAAAAGTAATACAAATAGAAAATGCAGTATCACAACTATTTACAGAGCATTTACATTGTATTAGGTATGAAAAGTAATTGAGGCCTGGTGCATTGGCTTGCACCTGTAATCCTAGCACTTTGGGAGGCCAAGGTGGGCGGATTGCTTGAGTCCAGGAGTTTGAGACCAGCCTAGGCAACATGGTGAGACCATATCTCTACGAAAAAATACAAAAATTAGCTGGTTGTGGTGGTTCACGCCTGTAATGTCAGCTACTCAGGAGGCTGAGGTGGGAGGATTGCTTAAGCACAGAAGGTCGAGGCTGCAGTGCACTGCGATCATACCACTGCACTCCAGCCTGGCTGACAGAGAAAGACTCTGTTTTTTTTTAAAAAAAGTAATCAAGATGGTTTTAAATATATAGAAGTATGTGTGTATGCAAATACTAGCCATTTTATATAAAGGACTTGAGCATCGCCTATTTTGTTACGTATGTATGGGGCAGGTGTTCTGGAACCAATTCCCGGCAGGTACAGAGGGATGACTATATTGTAAAACTGGAGAAATTATGAAGTCTGCTTTTCAGGATTACTGAGAGGATTGCATGAGATACTGCACACAGTAAGCCTTCAATAAATGGTGGTTTAACCCAGATGCCACCTTTTTCCATGAAACACCTCCAGACCCCTCCATCCCACAACTGGAGCATACACTAATGCCTTGGGTTATTTGTCTTAAACTGTGCTCCACCCATTTCACACAAGCCAGTATGGTCTCCTTGGCAGAGTGCCAGCCTTGACGCCTATTCCGCCTACTCCACCTGCACAGCTTGGGAAGTCCTTGCCTTCCAGCGATTTTCAGTAGGGTTCTGGCTGGGCCACATTAGTCTTTCCTGCAGAAGCTGTGTCTGACTCAGTCCACACAGAATTGCCCCCAGACAAGGAAGTTACTGTTCATTTGGCTTTAGTGGAACCACAGGCACAGGACGGGCGCAGCCTAGCAGGTGTAAGAGAAGACCTGTACACCGAGCCGTTAGCGTGGGCAGGGGCATGAGCTGGGTGACCGTGTTCCGAGGAGCTCTGTTGCCAGGCGGAAATCTAGGGTGGGGCATTGGCCTTCCAGGCTGTGTAATGGTAGTGCCCTTCAAATTTACTGAGGTATCAAGGGGCTGGGAATCTCCAGCCGACATCAGCCCACGAGTGGAGCCTCGGCCCAGCTACCCACTCACAGGTCCTGGATAAATATAAGCTGGGGATCCGGGACGTCCCAGAGGGGCCCCACGATCCAGGGGAGGTCCAGACTGCCATTAATTAGACTGCCAGAGGCCATTAATGCGGAGAGAGGTCACTTTCTGGGGCCAGGGCCAGGGCAGCTGGGGTGGGAGGGGCGCTGTCTGTGCGGTCAGAGCTGGGGGTCAGACCCAGAAGGCAGGGGGAAGGTGCGGCGGAGCTGGGCGGGCGGCGCCGGGGTCGTACCTCATCATTCCATCCCAAGTGGCCTGCGCGCCACCACACGGCCACCCTCGCGCCACTCTGAAATTGACCTCAGCAGGCTGGGCGTGAGGCCCTCGGCCCCGCCCCTCCCCACCCACTCCCCGACAGACCCCGCCCCCATCCGGCCCCGCCCCCTCCCCCGCCCACCTCCCGCCCCACAGCGGCTGGGGGGCGGGCCTGCGCCGCCACGTGTTCCGACGTAGGAGCGGCCAGCCTGCAGGGCAGAGCGCGGGTAGATCTTGGGCCCGGCGGCAGCAGTCGCAGAGCGGCGCGGTGGCGGCGGCGGCGGCGTCGGCAGCAGGAAGTAGGCAGCAGGCAGGACCATGGCAGCGGCGGTGGTGGTGGCCCGCGGGGCCGGAGCGAGGGCGGCGACAGCGGCGACTCTGCGGGGTGGCTGCGGGACCGCGGCTCGGGGGCGGCCGTGTGTGGGCCCCGCCCGGCCCTTGTGCGCCGCACCGGGGACCGCCCCGGACATGAAGCGCTACCTGTGGGAGCGCTACCGGGAGGCGAAGAGAAGCACTGAAGGTGAGTAAGGTGGCGACCCCGCCCCGGCGTCCGGGGCCCCTCCTGCGCGCTCAGCTGGGAAGCGGGCGCCCTGGGACCCGGTCCAGCCTAGCTGCGGACCTCCAGGGCCTCCAGTCGCGAACCCCGGTGCCCACACCCTCAGCCGCAGGCAGCATCGCCCCTGCGAAGCGACTCGGGGAAACGCGGAAAAATGCACTCTAGAAACTTCACAACTCGCGCCTTTCCCCTGCCGGGAAAGCTGTTGTATATATTCTTAGGATTTTTAGCCCGAAATCTGCATCTAAGGGGCTTTGGGCTGCGCGGAGCTGGAGTTCCGCACATCTCCCTTGGGAGTCGGCCACTCCCACGCACCGTTAGGTGTTGTTATTCATCAGTAGTAATAATAGTAACAGCCGACTCGGGCTGGCGCAGACATGCCCAGGAGCGGGGCTGCTGAGCAGGTGGCCGATCCCGAGGCTGGTCTGTTTTCCTTTTGGTGGGGGTGGTGGTGGGGTTGGAGAGGAGATGAGCTGAGCTGTGCGGTGTTTGAAAGAGGAGAGGTCCAGGTGGGGAAGGTTCTGGATTATCCATTAACCTCGGTGAGGTGGGGATTCTAAGGCCTTGAATGGGAACTTCATGGCCAGGTGTGCATAAAATGAGCTTGACTCAGTTGTTACTACTAATGAACTAATGAATACTAGTGCCAGGCACGTGGATTATCTCTAAATTGTTCCAGTAGTCTACGAAGGAGGTTCCACATCCTCATTCTATAGATGGGAAAGGCGAGATTCAGGTTTAAGTGACCTGGCCAAGGTGACGCCTGAATTTAGGGTCTGTCTCAGCTCCTGACCCACTGTCCTGTTTCTTGTGCTCCGCTGACCATTTGGAAACCAATAATCCATTGTCGCTGTTGCTTCCAAGGAGGATTCAGAATCGAAGTTTGTATACTGGTTACTTCTTATTGTGGAGGTGGCACATAGAGATAGGGAGAGATTATTGGGTGAACAAGAACGTTTGTATAGAATCATATTTTCCATTTTTTGGCCAGAAGTCAGTTTAATGAAAAAAGCTAATTAGTAATTTTCAGAGGGGACGTAAAATGACTAGCAATGCAGAATTCTGTGAAATGGTGGCTTATTGACTTCGTTTCCCTTTGCCAAGAGTTAATTTTGCTTTGGCTTTTGAAGCTGTTGTGTGGTGTAGTGGAAAGAAGACTGGCTTTGGAGACATTGGGAATTTTGCAGGTCTTAAGCGATGAAAAAAATATAGAAGATTATCTAGCCCAGCTTTTGTGCAGGCAAGTTTTTTTTAACTTGTAATTCTTATTGAGATAATTGTATATTTACATGCAGTTTAAGAATTAATACAGGGGCCAGGTGTGAGCTCACGCCTGTAATCCCAGCACTTTGGGAGGCTGAAGCAGGCAGATCTCTTGAGCACAGGACCAACCTGGGCAACAAAGGAAAACACAGTCTCTACAAAAAATGCAAAATTTAGGAAGGCGTGGTGACTCACACCTGTAGTCCCAGCTACTTGGGAGACTGAGTTGGGGAGGACTGCTTGAGCCTGGAAGGTTGAGACTGCAGTGAGTTGAGATTGCAACACTGCACTCCAGCCTGGGTGGCAGAGCCAAACCCTGTGTAAATAATAAACAGAAAAGGACTAATGGAGGGAGATCCAGCATACACTTTATCCAGTTTCTCCCAGTGGTAACATTTTGCAAAACAGTAATACATTATCACAACAGTATATATTGATACAGGCCACAGATCAGAGTGTCCTCATTTTATTTATACTTGTGTGTGTGCACATGCATGAGAGCACAAATGTATTTCTGTACAGTTTTCTCACATGTAGGTTCATATATCCACCACCAATCAAGGGACTGAACAGTTCATCATAAGGATTCCCTCATTCTGTCTTTATAGCCCCACCCACCTCCCCCCATCATGCTCTCCCTTGTCCGCAATCCCTGGAGCACTATTCTCCATTTCTAAAATGTTGTCATTTCAAAAATGTTATACTGATGGAGTCGTACACAATGTAACCTTTTGGAGTTGTTTTTTTCACCAAGTATAATTTCCTGGAGTTTTATCAAGTGTTATGTGTACTATATCAACAGTACATTCCTTTTTGCTGTGATTTCATGGTGTGGACGTAACACAGTTTAACCCTTTGTTTAACCACAGATTAACTACATTGAACCATTTACCCATAGTTCAAAGGACATTTGGGTTGCTCCCAGTCTTTGGCTGTTACAAATAAAGATGTTATAAACATTTGTGTACAGGTTTTTGTGTGAACATACATTTTCATTTCTCTAAATGCCCGAGAGTACAATTGCTGGGTCAAACAGTAATTGCATGTTTAGTTTTATAAGATACTGCAGGCAAAATTTTTGCCATCCTGATTTACGGATAAGGTTTGTTGCTTGCTGCCTGTGAGAACTGAGAGGTCAAAATAGGCTTGAGTTTCTTCATCTGTAAAATGGGGCTGCAGGTAGCACTAGCATCATTAGGGTTCAGGTGAGGAACGGATGAGTCCATCCATGAAAGGCGTTTAGGACAGTGCCTGGCGCATGAGACAGCCGAAGCATGGGATGGGGAAGATCACCATGTGATATGGTTTGGCTGTGTCCCCACCAAGATCTCAATTTGAATTGTATCTCCCAGAATTCCCACGTATTGTGGGAAGGACCCAGGGGGAGGTAATTAAATTATGGCGGACCGTCTTTCCTGTGCTATTCTCATGATAGTGCTAAGTCTCATGAGATCTGATGGTTTTATCAGGGGTTTCTGCTTTTACTTCTTCCTCATTTTTCTCTTGCTGCCGCCATGTAAGAAGTGTCTTTCACCTCCTGCCATGATTCTGAGGCCTCCCCAGCCATGTGGAACTGTAAGTCCAAGTAAACCTCTTTTTCTTCCCAGTCCCAGGTGTATGTCTTTATTAGCAGCTTGAAAATGGACTAATACAGTAAATTGGTAGCAGTAGAGTGGGGTGTTGCTGAAAAGACACCTGAAAATGGTGAAGCGACTTTGGAACTGGGTAACAGGCAGAGGTTGGAAGAGTTTGGAGGACTCAGAAGACAAGAAAATGGGGAAAAGTTTGGAGCCTCCTAGAGACTTGTTGAATGGCTTTGACAAAAATACTGATAGTGATATGAACAATAAGGTCCAGGCTGAGGTCTCAGATGCAGATGAGGAACTTGTTGGGAACTGGAGCAAAGGTAACTTTTGTTATGTTTTAGCAAAGAGATTGGCAGCATTTTGCCCCACCCTGGAGATTTGTGGAACTTTACATTTCTAAGCAGCAAAGCATTCAAGAAGTGACTTGGGTGCTATTAAAGGCATTCAGTTTTAAAGGGGAAACAGAGCATCAAAGCTCTGAAAATTTGCAGTCTGACGATGCAGTAGAAAAGAAAAACCCATTTTTTGAGGGGAACTTCAAGCTACCTGCAGAAATTTGCATAAGTAGCCAAGAGCCTAATGTTGATTCCCAAGACTGTGGGGAAAATGTCTCTAGGCCACGTCAGAGACCTTCATGGCAGTCTCTCCCATTACATGCCTGGAGGCCCAGGAGGGAAAAGTGGTTTAGTGGGCCCGGGCCCAGGGTCTCCATGCTGTGCGCCTTGTGTCCCAGCCGTTTCAGGTTTGGCTGAAAGAGGCCAAGGTAGAGCTTGGGCTGTGGCTTTAGAGGGTAGAAGCTCCAAGCCTTGGCAGCTTCCAGATTGTGTTGAGCCTACAGGTGCAAAGAAGTCAAGAATTGAGTTTGGGAACCTCTGCCTAGATTTCAGAAGATGTATGGAAACACCTGGATGCCCAGGCAAAAGTTTGCTGCAGGGATGGGGCCCTCATGTAGAACCTCTGCTAGGGCATTGCGGAAAGGAAATGTGGGGTGGGAGCTCCCACACAGAGTCCCTACTGGGGCACTGCCTAGTGGAGCTGTGAGAAGAGGGCCACTCTCCTCCAGACCCCAGAATAGTAGATCCACCGACAGCTTGCACTGTGCACCTGGAGAAGCCACAGACACTCGACGCCAGTCGGTGAAAGCAGCTGGGAGGGAGTCTGTACCTGCAAAGCCACAGGGGCAAAGCTGCCCAAGACCGTGGGAACCCACCTCTTGCATCAGTGTGACCTGGATGTCATGCTGATACAGGATGCATAAACATTCACATGTCCAAAAATCCCAAGTTGAAAAAGGAAAACATTCCAGTTGAGGGACTTTGACAAAGTATATAACCAGTACTTCTCAAAACTGTAGGTCATCAAAAACAGGGAAGAGTCTGAGAAACTGTTTTAGTCTAAAGAAGCCGAACAGACATTACAACTAAATGTAGTCCTTGTAGAGACCTGGAGTCAAAGGAGATCATTTTGGAGCTTTAAAATTTGACTGCCTGGCTGACTTTTGGACATGCATGGGGCCCGTAACCCCTTTGTTTTGGCCAATTTCTCCCATTTGGAATGGCTGTATTTACCCAATACCTGTACTCCCATTGTATCTAGGAAGTAACCAGCTTGCTTCTGATTTTACAGGTTCATAGGCGGAAGGGACTTCTCTTGTCTCAGATGAGACTTTGGACTGTGGACTTTTGGGTTAGTGCTGAAATGAGTTAAGACTTTGGGGTACTGTTGAGAAGGCATGATTGGTTTTGAAATGTGAGGACATGAGATTGGAGGGACAAGAGCGGAATGATATGGTTTGACTGTGTCCCTACCAAAATCTCAACTTGAATGGCTTCTCCCAGATTTCCCACGTGTTGTGGGAGGAACCCAGGGGGAGGTAATCGAATCATGGGGACTGGTCTTTCCCATGCTGTTCTCATGATAGTAAATAAGTCTCATGAGATCTGATAGGTTTATCAGGGGTTTCCACTTTTGCTGCTGCTTCATTTTTCTGTTGGCTGCCGCTATGTAGGAAGTGTCTTTCACCTCCCGCCATGGTTCTGAGGCCTCCCCAGCCATGTGGAACTGTAAGTCCAATTAAACCTCTTTTTCTTCCCAGTCTCGAGTATGTCATTATCA